GCCTTGGGGAAGAGAGGCTGAGCGTGCCATACCCCTGCTTCTCGCCGGTGGCACGGGGTTTTAGAAACGCTCCATTGCCCAAGGCAGGCAAGACCTTCGCCTCGGGGAGCTGAGCTGCTGCTGGTTTGATTCTCCGCTCCTGCTTCCAAACTAAAAAACCGATGCCCACTTTCAGATTCCATCCTCACCGCGCAGAGGAAGCCCGGGGTGCTGGGGACACCACCTGGAGCCTGGGCGCATAGCACCTGGGCAGTTGTTTTTTTTTTTTTCCTTCCAGCTTGAGGTATCTTGTTTAACCTCTAAGGTGCCTGAAGGTCTGGAAGGCTCGCGGGCAGGCCTTTGGCTGGCTACAGGAGAGGCTGGGCGCCCCAGATCCCAGCGCCGCCGGTGGGCACTCTATGTGCCAATGTCTGTAGTGCTTGTGTGCAGCAGAGCAAGGCTGCCCCACGAGGTAGTGGGCCGCTGGGCCGGCAGAGACCCATCTGACAATGCCCTGTCCCCTGGGAAGCCAGTGCCAGCCTGCACGGGTCACAGCTAAATAGAATCAGGAACAGGTGCTGCCTGGGAGGGAAACTCAGGCGCCTGGCATAGCTCAGTGATGCTCGCACCCTCTGGGGACCTTCCTGCCTCCACAGAAGGTGGGGACAGAGAGGCGAGCACGAAGAGAGAGAAAGGGAAGTGGGAAGAAACTGGTCACGGAGGAGGCTCTTTTTATTCTTTGGTGCAGCTGCGTGCATTTCTCTGACCAGCGAGGCAGAGAAAATCAGACTGGCTCCTGCCGAAACAGGCCTTCTAGTTGGGGTTGGGGGCAGGGAGGCGGAGGTGCACAGGAAAGGGGTGAAGAGGGGGAAATGCCTGAGGATACAGCAAACCACAGTCTCCAGAAGCCTTCACTGCACAGAACAACCTCCCCTGCCGTCCTGTGCCCCAGATGCCTCAGCCTTAACCTTGGCTGCCCGAAGTGGGCCATCCTTTCCCTTCTGGGTGACACCTTGGGCATGACCCAGTCAAGACTAGGCATTCGTTCATCACTGTCTTCTGCTGTTGGGCCTTGGAGGAGAGCCTTATCCCTTCCAGCAGGGGACAAGACCTCCTGGGTGGTGTCAGTTACCCTGGTCACCCTAGCACCTGGAGAAACTGGCAAACGTCCCAAACGGGAGAGCAACATGAGGGGTCAAGGCCCTAGAGTAGACTCTCGTGAGGCCCTGATTGTCTAAGTCAGCAGTTCCCAAAGTGTGTTCCAAGGATCCCTGTGGTACCCCAGACCTTTTCAAGACTGTCTTTTCTAACTGCAAGCTCCATAAGGCTGGATTTTCTTCATGTATTTCAACCAAAACCACATATCACAACAGATTGAATGCTGAAGCAGCTAGGAGAAAGCAGCTGTCTTCTATGAAGCCAGCTATTAAAGAGGTTTGCAAAAATGTAAAGCGATGTCACTTTACTCCCTGATTTTTTTTTTTTTTTTAGAAAATACAGTCTTGTTTTTTCATTAAATTGTGCTATTGATGTGAACATGTGTATCAGTTACCTATTGCTGTGTAACAAATAGCCCCAAAACTTAGTGGCTGAAAACAACACACATTGTCTCTCAGTTTCTGTGGGTTAGGAATCTGGGAGCAGCCAGCTTAGCTGGGTGGTTCTGACTCAGAGTCTCTCATGAGGCTGTAATCAAGGCATGGTCCAGGGCTGCAGTCATGTCAAAGCTCAACCAAGGAAAGAAGGGATCCAGCTCTCAGCTCACTCACATGGCTGTTGGCAGGCCTCAGCTCCTTGCCATGTGGGCCTCTCATCAGGGCTGCCTTGTGACATGGCAGCTGGCTTCCCCCAGAGAGAGTGAAGGAGAGCACCCAAGACAGAAGCCACAGTCTTTTTATAATCTAATTTTGGAAATGACATCCCATCACTTCTGTCTTGTCTATTAGAAGTGACTCAGTAAGTCCACCCCAACTTCAAGGGGAGGGAAATACTCAAGGATGCGGGTGACAGAAGGTGGGGATTACTGGATACTATCTCAAAGGCTGCCTACCACTCATCTAAGAAGTTCATTATTGTTATTTTTATATCAATGAACAAATATTTAAAACTTTCCTCCGTTTTCATTTTTAATATGGGAATACGGATACATGGGTCAATATAAACAAAAGCTTTTTGGAGTGCTCAATAATAAATAAAAAAGTAAAGGGGTCCCAAGATCTAAACATTTGTTAACTGCTGGTCTAGGTGTTACGGTATCTATAGAAGTATGTTAGTAACATGTGGAGGCCAGTCTACCCACCCATCGATCTATCCATTCATCCCTCTGACCATCCATCCATCCATCCATCCATCCATCCATCCTTCTATCTACCCATTTACCCATCCATCCACCCTCATCCTCCCATCCAGCCTTCCATCCACCCATCTATCCTTCCATGCATCTATTCTTCTATCCATCCATTCGTCCACCCTTACATCCATCTACTCACTCACCTATCTACCCGTACAATCAAAATGTTCCAACTACTGTGCTAGGGCTGGTACTTTAACAGGGTGGCTAGTGACTGCCGTATGGAGCGTGTCACATTTTAACAGATGAAACAACAATAAGATGAATTTAAAAATAATAACATCAGGTTGTGATCATTTGGACCCCCAAAGCCTGGAGCCCCAGGAAGCTGGTACACTCAAATTGGCACCATTTTGGTGGGTGACATCATATGTGGCCCAGACTAGGGGTGGGGTGGGCCCAGACTGCAGGGTCCAGGGAGCAAGAAATGTGTGGCAGCTGTGGAGAGATGGCATGAGGCCCTGGTGAGCCAGAATGATCTCAGGTTCTTCATGCCTAGTTAATTGGTGACTGTGGGACTCTGGGTAGAAGACCCTTAAGTGGAAGATGTAACCCATATGGGCAGAGTTCCTATTTCTTGGTTTACTTTCCCTTTTCCCAATGGAGGGTCTCCTTCTGGACCTGACTTGACATGCTCTGGCTTTAATTTTGATCCTGGAGACTCCTCTGTGGCTTGCAGTGTCCCCTGTGGATCCCTGAGCCAGAGAGGCCCCCATTTCAGAGTCCCCAGGGGAAATGCTCTGATTCATGAGAAGGGCCTCAACCTATCACCCCCAAATATGTGAAGACTGGGCTCTTTTATCATCTTGTCACTGACACCTGGGAAGTTTGAGCTGGCAACCTTCTTATAGGAGGAGGTAGGGGAGGTCGGGGGCAAAGAGAGACCAAAAACCCAGGCTGGAGGCATAAGGACACTCACTGGGTTCTGGAACAGGAAAAACGGGGGTGGGTGGCTGGGATGGACAGAGCGCATAAGTGATGATCTTCTCTACGTCAAAGCCTGGCCTCACCAGCCCTGCTCTAAGGGGCAGCTAAGGTAGGAGCCCCCCAGCCCCTCTTCCAACTCCTGAAAGCCATTGAGCATTTTAAAGAGGGAATGTGTGCCCCCCACCCAATGCTCGGAGCTTTCATTGTGTGAATTGTTCCCTCAGGGAGCGGGGCCGTGTGAATAAGTTACACTTGGTCTTGGTGCCGATGCCCCAGCCCAGTGGCTTCCAGAAAGACCAGGCCAGGCCTCTTTGGGACGACATATGTCAGGGATGCTCTTGCGGGGGGAGGAGGGGTGTTGCTTAAAATGTGGCCTCTCTGTGGCCCGGCACAATTCTTCCAGTCTTCTCCATGATGGTTCGTTGGTGGCTTCAGGCCTCAGGTTTGAATGTGGGCTGTATCTTAGCAAAATGCTAAAACAATGGAGAGATTTGTGTGCAAGTTCAACCCCCGATATGGCTCTTGGGCCCTTCTCAAGAGAGAACGGGTGTTACCTTTGGTTTCTGGCCTGGTCATGGATAAAATTGGTGAATGGGTAATAAGCAGCTCAGGTGCCCCTGATATCAGGGGATCTCAAAACGCTGTCCTGTACCAGCAGCATCATCATCACCTGGGAACTCGTTAGAAATGCAAATTTGGGGGGGCTCACCCCAGACCTACTGAGTCAGGATTTGGGGCAATGGGGCTAGGGCCTGGGAATCTGTGTTTAAACAACCCCTCCAGGTGACTGTGATGCCCTTTCAAGTTCAAGTTTGAGAGCCACTGTTTTATGAAGAATATTATTCTCATTTAACAGATAAAGAAAATGAAGATCAGGGCGGCTAAGTCACTCGACCGGGATCATGCAGCCAGCAAGTTGGGTGCCAGGACTCCAAGCAGGTCTTTCATGAGAAGGACTCTTGTTTTTTTCCCTTTGTCTCTTCCACTCCCTCCCTCTCTGTCCTCACCCCTCCATCCTCTATCCCGGAGGTTCTCAACTTGGCCGTATATTGACATCACCTGGGGAGCTTTAAAAAATAATATTGCTGTTAGGCCTCCACCCTAGGAAACTGATCTCCGGGGTGTGACTCCAGCATCTGTACTTTTTATTCCCTCTTCACAGGCAGCCTTACCCAGATTCCTTTGCGATTCCAAATGTTTCTGATGCATGCATTTGCACTGAGGTGTTAGTAACTGGATGTGTTACCTTTCTCAGGGTGTCTGCATTTGAAAAAAGAGCCGAGGACATAAAATAATGAATTGCATAAGCATCTTAGCGAGTGGGAGAGACCAGCTTTTGATCTCCTTTCTCACACTTGCAGCAGATTTATTGCCCTCACATGTCCTGCTAGGAATCTACCCAGCAGTCTTCGCTGAGAATTCTGAATATGCTGTGGCTTTTTGAGGGGCTTTTTGGGCTAGAAGAACTTGAATGAATCATTTTTGAATGCCCATAAGCCATCAGCCTTGCCCACAGAGGGCAGTCGGTTCAATTCTAACTAGCAAGCAAAACCAAAATTATTCGCCCAAAATGTTTTTGCTGTTGTGGTTGTTGTTTGTTTTTTTTAACCATTCCGTGATGAATCTTCCCCTGTCGGACCTTTCCCAGCGCCCATCCAGACATACTCAGCCACAGAAATCGAGGTGGTATGTATCTAAACCATAAGTTAGAGTCATTTCCCAGATCCCAAGTCAATCAAATTTCAGGAGACCCTTCCCATGGCTAATTTCAGGACATGACAAATTTTGACGTTGACGCCCCCTTTTCATTTTTTTAATTGTGTAAACCTTTTTTTATTGAAGTATACTTGATGTATAATATTACACTGTCGTAAACCTTTGATTTTTAAAAAGGAAGAAAAATAAAAGCCACCCTAAAATGATTTTTTTTTTTGACTGGCATCTACATCTCTACCCTGCTTCCTGCACCTGGTGGGGGACACAGCGCTTCTCCGCCCTTCAGGAAACGGCCCACTTGTCAGCAGCTGGGCTCCCAGGAACAAAGGCCTAGGTTCATTACCACAGTATCGACCCTGACACGTTGCACTCGGGCCACCTCCCCCAGAGTTCCTCAATTCACACCCCAAATGAAGCGTAATTGGACCTGGACATCTTTGAAGTCCCCCGAGCAGCTCGCCAGCATTTTGAAATGTCCTCGATTTGCATGGTGAAAACCTGGTTGGAGGTGACTTTTTCTTTCCCCTCATCCCACGGTTTTAAAGACAGAATGATTTAAAATGACATTCCCCAGCCAGGGAAGAGTTACCATGGAAGAAATAAAAATTCTCAAAGCCCAGAAAAGAAAAGGCCAAATAAGTCCGAGGATCTGATGAATCTCTCATCTGCTCCTTTGCTCGGTTTTTGTTCTGCGAGGGCCACATACCAGGCCGTGGTTTCCTCTCAAACTTCTCCCCACGTCCCCGACCTGGGGGGATGACGAGGATCCAGGAAACTTGGCTAGGAGGTTCTGCAGGCCAGCGGGTTGCTGTCGGACCTGAAGCAAGAGCGGGAGCCCTGCCACAGGCCGGTGAGTCGATGAGGGAGACTGTGTGTTGATCAGGGATCATCTGTCTTGCGTTCCAGCTGAGCCAGCGCCGCTATGCAAGGATCGTGCACAGTCCCAGAAATCAGCATGCCCGTGTGCCCCGTGGGTCTAAAGCTTGGTGATTTCTTGCAGCCCACGGAAGGGCCTGCTTGGTGGAGTCGTGCCTGCGGTCTAGGCGGGCATTTGTTGAGCCCGGGAGGAGCTGCGCGGTCTGTTTTCCTCTGGGCAGTGGCCTGCCCCTCGTTTGCAGTCCCTCCCACACACCCACTCCTGCTTCTGTAAGCTTCCTCAGGGGTAGCCATCCTCTGAAACAAATGATCCACTTTCCTCTAGAGCACCACTGTCCAATAGAACTTCCTGTGAGAAGGGAAATATTTTATATCTGTGCTGAGATGTGGCTAGTGCAACTGAGAAAATGAATTTTCAACCTTATGTAATTTTTTTTTGGATTTCTTTAATGGAAGTACCGTTGATTTACAATGTTTCAGGTGTACAGCAAAGTGCTTCACGTCATTTAATTTAAATAGCCACATGTGGCTAGTGGCGACTACATTTGGACAGATGACCAAATCCCAAGAGTGGATGCCCTAGTTTGGGGGGTGTATGGTATTGACTATCGACGCTCTAAAAAGACTTTTTTTTTTTGGCCGTGCCACATGGCTTGCGGGATCTTAGTTGCCCAACCAGGGATCGAACCCGCGCCCCCTGCAGTGGAAGTGTGGAGTCCTAACCATTGGATCACCAGGGAAGTCCCCAGAAAAACTTTTCAATCAAGCAAAGCTTAATTTATTAGACCTACTTCAGTAAGGAAGAGGACCCCTGTGACAGAATGCTAGTGATGTCTCCAAGCAGGGACCCTGGGGAAGGGCATTGATAGCATTTAGAGGCTGGACTGGGTGATTCTGAAGTTGGGTCTTTTTTTTTTTTTTTTTTTTTTTTGGGG